ATGAAAAAGGTCTTAAAAGTAAAAATAATATTTCTTTATGTATTTTTTTTTTTTTTCAGAAATAGATTGTTTTGAGAGAGCATTAATGGAAAATGAACATCTTAGTGATCCCAATATGTATGATGAAGAACCAAACATTGACTACCAACATTTTTAATGGATGATGTAGATAACGACCTTAATGTATAAGTCAAAAAACGTTCAAAATAAAAAAAATTGATACGAAATAGGTGTTTTGTCAAAAAAAACCCTTAATCCGATTCTAGGGGTGAAAACGGTATTTTATACAATGTTTTCCCTTTGTACACTGAGACAGAGTGAATTTACACTGATAGAAGTAAACGTTTGTAAATGTTAACGGATTGAGCACGAAAATAATAAATTTTGGCGATTTCATATGAATTTAAAATTTCACCCCTTTTTAACCCCATTTTCGAACTAGAGAGAAGATTGTAAGTAAGCAATTGTGTAACGTTTTTAAATCTTTACCACGCAAAAATCAGTGTTTTTATTTTTAACCTCTTAAGAGGGGCGTCGCGGGGGGTTAAATAAAATTAATTTGTCTGACGGCAACATTTTATCATTATTTGGGACTAAATGAAGCCCAAAATAGGCAGTCAGAAAAATTTAATAATTTTAACCTATATTTGGCAATTTTTGAAATTTTTGGATCAAATTATTAAAAAATGGTCAAACTGCCATTTATGATAAATATAAATAAAGTTTGGACCGGTTACATCGAATGGTTTTTTTTTAATTTCTTAAAAAATTCCCGGTTCGCGAACCGCTAATGGAATTTATATGACGACGATAGTTCATCCGTTATTTAGATACATATACTAATGATTACCATTAACTCCAGGCGGTTAACACGACATTTTTTATTCGATTTTCCCCCCTCCCCTAGCTCTGAAACGGCCGGCCGCTACGCATATAGTACCGAAGAAAAAATCTTTAAATTTACTATAGAGTCAGACGATTAGCATGACTAGAGCAGTGCTCCGCAACCTTTCCTCATCTGAGGCACACCAAACTGCTCCCTAGAATTTCGTGGCACACCAAAATCTAAAATATATTTATAGCAGTGGCGTAGCTAGGTCGGGGGTCAGTTCACTCCATGTATACTAATTATTTATGGATGTCCAAACTACCTTAGTTTTTTTTATTGTTTTAAAATGTGAAGAAGCCCCTTTCAGATTTGGGGCATCAAAATTTTCACTCAGGACATAATACATATTTTTTTTTATTATTCAGATAGAATGAAAAATACAAATAGGTACATACATGAGAACTATACTAATTACTAGGTAGGACAGGTAGGTATACTAAATTTACTTCTGTTGACACGTCAATAGTAATAAATATTTTGACATGATGATGACTGATTAATGTGATACCTGCGCTTGCTTCGTTGAACACAAAAGTTTTATATTCGGCTCAATTTTAGACAGCGCAACTCTCATTTCTTGGTCAAGATCTTTTAAGCATGACCGTTTATCATTTTTAATTAATACAAGCGTTGAAAAACTTTGCTCACATAAATATGTTGTGAAAAACGGAAGTAGTGTGAAGATGGCCTTGTCGGTGATGCGTGGATATTCTGTCTTGATGGAAATCCAGAAAACATCTAACGGAACTTCGTCGAATTTAAGTTTTAGGGTCATATCATTACTTAATTCTGTGAACTCCTCTCGAGTTTGCAATGGCAGTGCTTCCGTGGAACTTATTGCATTGGTTGCGAAAGGATTTCGAATCCAATTGTATTGTTCCGTGTTGATAGAATGGAAATAGTATTCAAATTTTTGTTGAAGCATACTTAAATGTTGTTGGGCCAAATCCACAATCAACTGCTTGTTTTCGATCGTACTGTGGTTGGTCCTGTGATACATTTCTAGACATCCTTTTTGCAACTGTTCCTGCCAAAGTTCAAGTTTCTTTTTGAACCCTTGTAATTTATCGGAGCACGTCAATATATTTTCATTCCGTCCTTGCATTTTTTTATTAAGTTCATTCAGATGTTCGAATATATCCGCCATGTATGCAAGTTTGGCTATCCAGTATTCATCATGAAGGTGCTGGCATAGATCGTACATATCTTGACTTGAAAGAAACTCACGCACTTCGTAGCGAAGTTCAAACAGTCGAGCTAAAACTTTTCCCCGGGATAACCAACGAACTTCTGTATAAAACAGTAAGGATTCATGTTCGCTTCCCATTTCTTCACAGAGTATTCCAAAGATTCGCGAATTTAAGGCTCTCGATTTAATTATGTTTATGATCTTAATACATTCATTCATTGTGATCGAAAGCTGTTCGGGCAAATTTTTGACCATCAATGCTTCTCGATGTATGCAGCAATGTGTAATTTGTATTGACGGATTTTTTTGTTTTACACAAGATACAAAACCTTTCTTACTGCCCATCATTGCAGCAGCACCATCTGTACAAATAGCAACGCAATTGGTCCACTGAATATTATGTATTTTAAAAAAATTATCAGTTACTTGGAAAATTTGTTCACCGGTAGTTCTCTCTGGAACCTCCTTACAAAATAAATAATGTTCTTTAATAGAGTCCTCGTCAACGAAACGTACAATAGCCATCAGTTGTGCTTTATTTTTAATATCGGTTGATTCGTCGATTTGAAGCGCAAAAATTCCAGCCGAAATGATTTTTTTAATTAGTGTTCCCAAAATATCACTTGACATATCTTGGATACGTCTTTTAACAGTATCGGCCGACAAAGAAACTTTACTCACGTCCTTAACTTCGTTTGGCCCAAGCATAAGTCTAACAATTTCCATGCATGCTGGTTTAATAAGCGTTTCACCGATAGTGTGCGGTTTTTTTTGTTGTGCAATTAATTTTGCAACAAGGTAGCTTGCTTCTAATGCCTTTTCAGAAACCGTAACCGCCGATTTCATAAACTGCTTTTGTTTCTTATTTTGATCCAAGCGCCGTTGGAAAAATTGAATGTCTTTTTTGACGCAACTGGGATGATTTGTGATCAAATGACGGTTTAGTTTGCTGGGTACCATTGCTTCATTTGACAACTGTTCACCGCAAATGACGCATTCAGGCTTTGGAGCCGCTTCGTCGCCACACCAAGTGAAACCATATCGAAGGTAGTCTTGATTGTACTTCCTTTTCAGCACCTTTTTTGCTCTTTTTGCAGCACTTATGCTGGAGCTTGTGCTAGGTTCTTCGTCATCTGCTCGTGATTTCAGCAAAAATTTATCCATATTTGAAGCACTATAGTTATTTATAAAAGTAGATACTGCAACAAAACTTAGTCCAGTTCACTTATTTATAAGGCACAAGAATTTATTTATATAGCAATTCACTATTTATTTCACTCTACGATTTATTTGTTTGCCCGCGTATTTATCTGATTCACTTGACTATTCGACTCTTTCTGAGTCTCTGAGCGACGACAGGCGCGCTTATATAGGCAGTGGCGATGTTCAGGAAAACATCGAGTCGCGCCTCGAACGGCACGGATCTTTCTAGTTTAGTCGCCTTCGAGAATCAAGCCGCCGCGCCGCGCCGATAGACAGATAGACGTTTACCATCGGCGCTGTTGTCAGATTGCTTTATTTTTCGCGGGTCTCGCTACAATACGAATCTGATTCGTATTGTCTGCAAGAGCGGCACACCTCAAGTCGGCTTACGGCACACCAGTGTGCCGCGGCACACCGGTTGCGGAGCACTGTCCTAGAGTACAAAGTTTGACGGCATTCAGAGACATTGTCCACATAGTATTTAAATAATGTCCACTGCTGAAACAGTTTCATGTTTTAACATGGTTTTATGTATGTAATTTTTTACATAAAGGTGGCAAGTATACCGAGGGAAAAATAGGTTTTGAAAAAGTATTCTGTTTTCTATAAATTTAAATATTTTTATTTATAATCAATGAATAAATGAATATTTATACACTGTAAATCAACTTCTAACATTAGAAAGCGATACGGAAAGTATGTGGTCGTAAAAGGAGTATTTTCGAGGATGTATGAAGTATTTATGATTTATGATGAAGAATTTATGAGTATTTCGGAGGATGTATGTAAGGATTTACAAGGAACTACGAGGATTTATAAGGTTTTATTTCTACAAAAAGAATGTAGGTGTACAAAATTTAGATCAGTGGTTTGGTCCTCGAATCACATTAATTAAAAAAGATTTCAAACTTTGTTGGAATATTTCATAAATTTAAATATTAATAAATTTAACTTTTTCTAAGGTCCGGAACATATTAATAAATGCAAAAATAACAATTTGGATGTTTTCAATATAATATCAGATTTGCAACTTTTTTGAAAGTTCGCAACATGATTATTTTTTGTAAAATTTTGTTTTTTAAATTTTAGAGAACTATTTAAATGCAAATTTGTAAACTTCTACGATTAGCGCAAATGACTATTATTTGTCTATGGCCATTATACATTCACAAGTAATATCGAATTTATAACCTTCCTTGCAACTTCCATGAAAATATTTATATAATTTCCTGTTTACAGCTTTAATTTAATTTTATCTTTAAAAATATTTATACATAGAAATTAAAACAAAAATTTGCTGAATATAAAAAATGCGGAAATGTAAAAGTTATAACTGAAGGTGGATCCTAAATACTTGTATAAAACTAATTCCAATCCTTTATTATTTTAAGGATTGCATGCAGTTACCGGAAAATTATCAGCTTGAAAATGGGATTTCTAACATATTCTCGCCATCGAACATCTTCCAATATCCCTTGGCACAAGTGCGTGTAAAACCTAAAAAGAGCCAGTACTAGGACAAGCAGGAAAGGAACAATAGCAGGGATTCCAGCTTACACGGCCTGACCAATGGTTCAACGCTTCAATGCCAACTCTCTGTAGCTTTCACTATCTCTTGTTTTATCGCGTATTGGAAGACGTACTGTGGCCGTTAGCGTATACTAAATACATTGTATAAGCATTTTATATTTAGCCTTAAACAAGCAAGAACTATTATGTTCAAGCCTGATGAGTCCCTAAATGTTTATCTCTGGCTTGTTTCGTTTGGAACGTCTTCTGACAAACCGAACATTCAAACGGTTTAACACTGTCGTGTATCCGTTTGTGTACCTTAAGATTGAACTTGTTCTTGAACAATTTCTTACAAACATCGCAAGCGTGCTTCCCTTTCTCGACGTGAACCAACTCGTGGGCGATCAAGTTGTTAGAACGATTAAATTTCTTTCCGCATTTATTACACATCAATTCTTGCTTCTTGTGGTTTTGCAAATGAGCAGCGTAATTTTTCAAATTGGTTTTTCCACAAATGTAGCACAAAAGATCGTTGTGCTGCTTTTCGTGGGCTTTGAGCTCCGGGGAGGTATTGAAACTCTGCTCGCAAATTGTACAAGGGTAATCTTTCAATCCATCCAAATGTTTATAGTTAATGTGGTGCTTTAAATATTCACGAGGAACCTTTCTTTCGCAATGGACGCAAGCGGTGTATAGAAAATCATCTTTTATTCTGTAATTCTCAATTTCTTCGTTTGAGAATAGATGAAAACATCTATGCGAAGTTAATTGAGAAGAAATAATAGAAGCATGACATACGGTACAGAATGATTTCATATATCCATTGCATTCGTTTGTATGGTCTAAGTCGCAAGTTCGGACGCATTTAAAACAAAAATGGATAGCTGAGTATTTTATGTTTGCAAAATGTTCTTTCAGATACTTGGCACTTGGAAATGAAATGTTACAATGCACACATCTATGTATAATATGTCCGCAATTTTTAATATGTCCGCTGATGGTGCCCAAATTAAAAGTACCTTTGCAGGTATTGCATAAATAAGCCATCTCCACTTTCGTTACCGTTCCTTCTTTTAATGCCAACTGTAATAATCTCGTCCCGCCTTGCATACAGCCCTGCATACGTGGAAACAAGACGCAACATTTGTTCATATGCTCTACTAAAGTTTCTTCATCGAATTTTAAATCGCATATTTTGCATTTTAAGCTATTATCTTCTTGCAAAACTACTTCTTCGGACACTCGATGGAAACAAAAATGACTCGTTTTATTTTCTTCCTTCAAATCTGTCAAACAGAAAGCACATTTAATCCCACTTCTAACGTCGTGTTCGTGTATGTCATTCGAGATTTTCTTGCACATGTAGCAATAATACACAACGAGTGGAATTACTTTTTTCAAATGAGCTCCCAAATTGGAACCTTCGTTTGTACAAAAAGTGCAATTTTTGTTAGTTTGCGTTGACTGAGGTGGGCGGTGCTTGTGTTCATCTAAGGGGTCATTGGATCTACAAAAAAATCATGTTTTTTAAAAACATTAATTTCACAAACTCAGAAAGTACGCCAAATATTTATTTATTTAATAAGGAACATACATAAAATTAGGAATTGAATAAAAATACAAACCAAATACCATTAAATTCACAAAAAAAAAATGGCATAAAGTCACTCGCAGCTAGGGTTACTAGACGTCTGGAAAGAGGATATATTATACCTTATAATAAACATTGAAAGTTTACCTACAATTATCCTACAACTGTACTGATACCTTTATTCTGTCATGTTATGTTATGTTGGGAATGTGCTGTTAATACACTGCGACCTAAGATCTAGTGTGTTCCCTTCTGTCGCTAATACAGCAAGTAAATGTCTTGATGCCTATAATGACCCTTCCAATCCTCTTCTCAAGGAAGTGTATGATTTGGAGAAGCTTCAAGTTTGGTAAATCTGCCTCCTATCCTGTCATTGTGAACTCACAATATAGGCCCCACCTATCCCAACTAAAAAAGTTTAAATAGCAAATCCCTACTTGTGTTACATCATTGAAAAGCCTATAAAAAATGCTATCCAATGGTATAAATAATAATTGTACAGGGTGAATCAATAATTGTGAAACATTGCCCCAAAAGGAAAATTTAATGAAGTTTTTGTTAAACTAAAAATTTGTGGATTCTCTTTTATGTCATTTTAGTTCCTCTTCTTATCCTAGAAACGGTTTTAAGCATTTTTTGATACCTTTCGTTTGTAAGTTTTTAAATTGTCACATTGTATACACGTCAGTAGTCCACTAATCAATTTAAAAAAAAAAACTAATATCTTTCACTGTATATTGATTTCAAAAGGTTTATTTTTATCTTTTCGCAACTGGTGATATAACTTTTCGTAACCAGTTGCATATTGTTTAACTTTATGTAACATTCTGACACTTGCTGCGATTATAATAGATATCACTTTATATGTCAATATTGAAAAAAGAACATAATGGTTGCAATAGGTGATACCATAGTGTACCAAAAGTCTCCCAACAGTCTCTAAATGTGGTACGTAGAGATATAAATCTCAATTTCATAACCAAAAACTTATCTGCAAGCTAAAAAAAACCATGTGGTGCGAAGTCAATACATATACAGAGTTGGGCAAAATTGACGAAACATCCGATTTTTTGCTCAATTATAGATTGTACTGAAAATTGACTCGATAAATGTTTTCATATATTTAATGCACTATTTAAGAGCATTTGGGGATTTTCGCCATCTGTCATAGTTATCAAGATATGACGTCATCGGATGAAATTTTAAATGAATCACCCTGGATTTTTTTTTTTTTTTATAATCTTTTCTTTCTGAATCCATTAATATGGGGTCCGGCTGGTCTCTGACTTACCTTATCATAAGAAAATAATAAAACAGAAAGGTAAACATTGTTTTGAATAATTAATGAATAACTATCCACACAGTTGTATGATATTATAATGTATCAGTTTGAAATGTTTTGCCATAGCTTTTAAACTAAATATTTTACCGACATCTCAATATTAACCACTCAGTTTTATTAATACGATTCTTGTTCATCTCTGACAGAAATACCTACCGATTTTCCTTGCGTTACTGTTTACTTGGGTTTTATAACTATGGTTTTAATAATTTTTTTAATCTGTAGATTTTAATTGATTCTGGTTTATGGGGAAAATTAAACAAGTTGAGATTAATTGCAAGACTATTCGTTTCACCCAAACTAGCCCAATACGCGACAATAAATAACTCTCAATAATTGATAATACTAAGAATTTTTATTAATTTAAAACATGGTTGAACGGAGTGAACGTGAAATATTTACACTATTGATGATTATTGAGTTTGGAGACAGAAAGAAACTTGTGATTTATTCAATGCAACATTTTCTGAGATAATTTCCCCGATTTCTAAATATACAGTATCCATAAATTTGAGCAAATATAAAAAACAATCCCAGATCTGGACGGAAGGACTAATGAAAAAAATTCCCTTAATGTGGTTTTCTAAGTGTACAGGTAGAACAAAAAACTTCAGTTCCAAAGCTTGCATTAGATAATAATATAACCGAGAGATCTGTAATAGGCCCACTGCAAATTTTTACCGGCATCTGATAACGAAATGAAATATACCCCAAAAACATGGAAAAACATTGTACTTTACCAAATGGCACCTGTGCCAATTCCAATCCTGAGCAAAGTAGCTTAAAAAAATTATTTTATATTAAAAAAATCACACAAGGCATGACAGCGCTAATTTTGTTTGCCCTTAAAGTTTTCCAGAAAATAAAATTCAAATATATTTTGATATATATCGTAAAAGGGAAACATTTTCTTCCTCTTAACATCGCACAAAAACATCTATCCACGATTAATAGGTAAAAATCATCAAAAATATGAATCAATTTTTGCTGATTTAAAAATTTATTTGTATGCCTATTGTTGCGATTCATTTTTACAGGTTGCCATAGAAACGACAAAAAAACTACTATGATTATGGTTTAAAATAATTGTCTGACAAGAGTTTATAATTATTCTTGACTATCTCTGCAAATGGTTTATACAATGCCATCCTTCTTCCTTTCACACATAAACATTGTTCAAAAGGTAGGTAAAAATATTAGTAATTCTGGTTTAAAAGCTAGGTTCACAATGAATTAGCATTGTAATTTTCAGGGAAAATACAATTGTTGCTGTCATGTCTTATGTGATTTTTTGAATACAAAATAATTTTTTTTAACCACTTTGCTCAGGATAGGGATTGGCACAGGTGCAATTTGGTAAAGTACAATGTTGTAACATGTCTTTGGAGCATATTTCATGTCAAATGACGGTCGAAATTTGCAGTGGGCTCTCATACTATAAGGAGAATTCTATAAGTAAATAAATTTCATCCCTATAAAGTGCAATTACAACCAAAAATTGAATGAAGAAAATCCAAATAGGCGAATCCAATTCTGTCAGGAAATGATGGATATCATTAATGGAAATAATATTTTGATGAACATTATTTTTTCCGAGGAATTAACATTTTGTGTCAGTGGATTTGCAAACAAACATAATTGCCCGGTATTGGTCTGATCATAATTCTCACTGGATGGAAGAAGATAACACTTACTTTCCACAAAGGTTAAATGTTTGGGCTGGTATAGTTAGAGGAAAAATTATTTTTCATGAGAGGAACTCTTAACGGTGATCGTTATTTTCAATTTCTTCAAGAGCAGATAGTTCCAGAGAAAGTTCGTTTATTTCCAAATCATAAAAATAACTGATGAAATTGGGTTCCAGCAAGAAGGTGCTCCACCTGATTTCGATGCTAGAGTGAGGCAGTACCTGAACACAATATTTCCGTAGAGATGGGAGAGTCAAAGAAGACATATTGAGTGGCCGGCACGGTCACCGGATTTAACACCACTGGATTTTTTCTTTCGGGCTATTTAAAATAAGTAGTTTATAAGGACCTGCCACATTCGCTGGAAAAATTTGAAGACAAAATAAGAATTGCTGTTCAAGAAATAACACAAAAATGTTTATTTTCTATTTTATGAACTTAGAGTCCCTCAAACCCTGCATTGATGGATTCAGAAAAAAAAAGATCAATTCGAAAAAAAATATAAATATAGGGTGATTCATTTAAAATTTCATCCGATGACGACATATCTTGAAAAATATGACATGACGAAAATACCGAAGCGCCATTAAATAGTGCATAAAATATACAAAAACTTTATTCGGGTTAATTTTCAATGCAATTCACAATAGAGCTACAAATCGGGTGTCGCGCCAATTTTGCCTAACCATGTATAATGTTTACATTTCAGATAAAAATTTCGTCATGAGTTACAAAAAATAAACAATAGAAATTGTTGTAACTAATGCTGAATATGTCCCTAATATGGACCATACGTGGTTCTAATATGGAATAAACATTTGTAAACATATGTTTCAACAAAAAATAAAACAGGACAGTTACAAAAAACATTTTATAACTTTAGGATACATGAAAAAACAATTTAGTTAACACAAAAGAATTTCTTCAGTTATATCGGGAGAATGTATTTTACAAAATTCCCACAAAATCGGTTCCACAATATGTATCCACTGTTAACTCCTGGCGTCTTCGGAAAACTTTGCATTGTACATCCTCATATTGTGGGTCAACACCAATATAGTTAACATCTTCGTCAGAACTGTCACTGTAAATAGATGAATCAGATTCAGAGAATTCTTGAAAGTGACACTTTCCTGTGGGACTTTCTTCCAACAAATTTTAAAATATTTGCTATTCTTTTAAGGAATTTTTAAGCCACTTGTAGATGGTTGGGCTCATCTATTAAATCAGTTCGAATTTTGATGTTACAGCGTTAATAGAAGTTTTCAATTGTTCTTTATAATGGAAACAAAGTTATTAACGCTGCTTTCCTATGTGCTCTACTATTTGAAGTCCATTTTAAAAGTAGGCATGGGAGAGACTGACCGCATTCTCTATAACAAGAAATGCCGAATTTTCGTCAATTGAAGCTTCTACTTTAATGGATTCAATTGGAGCTTCTACTTTAATAGTTTCAATTGGAACTTCTACAGTTTCAATTGGAGCTTCTATTTTAATAGATTCAATTGGAGTTTCTACTTCAATAGATTCCTGTTCATCAGCAAGAAAATCAGTATCTGAAAACACTTGACGATTCGGTGGAAATAAACCCGTTTCTTTGAAGCCATTTACAGCGATTGCCCCGATTCGAACTTTTAAGTACGCTTTTCCGAACAGTTCCGCTAAATCAAAATGTGTAACTGGTCGTTGATTTTCTCTCAGGAATAATTTGACTTCTTCACTGTAGCAAGACGTTAATGGA